GAGAGAGGAGGCGGAGATCTCTCTCGCAAAACTAGTAAATACCTAACCCTTCGTCTTGAACTCTAGTCTCTAACCTTTACGTAACACTACAAACCACTAATACCTAACCCTTCGTCTCCTCTCTCTTGTCTCTCTCTCTCTCCTGCCTCTCTCTCTCTCTCTTTTGCATACTTAGGAAAGCACGAAATTTAAACAAAAATGAAACGGAGCTAATTGGGAGTGGTTGGAGTTTGGGTACGAGTCGGGTCCCGAGTCCATAGTGTTATTATGGTTATGAGTACAGGTATAGGGCCTCTGGACCCGTCGAGTCTGAGTCCGAGTACGGGTCCATCTCGGCCTATTCGGGTCTGGGTCCAGGTCCAACAAGACCCGATCCGTTGCCACCTCTAACCAAGCATTTAGAAAGTTTCATGCACCATCATCACACTGCTTAAGTTTCGAGTTCAAGGTTTCTGTTCCATTTCAGCAATCTAGTTTCTCAGTTTATAGTCACTCTTTCCCCCTTGGTGGTTATTTCTATTCCTAACATACATGATTCCAATATCACATACACGCACCATTTCTTGAATATTCCATTTCTTGATTCACATCCATTTTCTCCATTATGTTTTCCTTATGCTTTAGGAATATGAAACATGATGAGAATGGTTTGATTTGACCTGCTTTGCTACAGTTGGAGCCTTTCCCACCAATGTTTGCAGTTTTATTTACTTGAACAAAAAATATAATAATAATAATAATAATAATAATAATAATAATAATAATAATAATAAACACTCTCACCATATGTGGGAACCTTAGTATTCCAAGATGCCCACCCTCTAAATCGCATCACATGGGTAAAATTTAAGCCCTCTTGACAGTTACAGTTTCAAAAAAAATAAAAAATTAGCCCTCTTGAGTGGCCGACTGCCACGTAAGAGGACTGCCCAAAAATAAGCATTATATGTAGGACCTTATCCCTATTATTGAGCTTGTTGTTTCAATTTTATATTGATGTAATTTTGTATTAGCTTTAGTATCCTTTTGCTTTAGCTTATAATCAATTTGCAACTTATCAAGGAGAAAATCATTAATTAACGTGTTGATGTACATATATAGTGATGGTCTCTGTCGAAATCACCAAATGGTTGACCTCCCTAACACACAATACTTAGATATACATGCGCTCTGGTACATGACTCATGGACTAGTCACCGTATTAACTATAAACAACAAAAAGTGATCTGTGCATGTCAAAGCAACAACCTCTGTAACAACGACAAGAGTGTCACTTGCATTTAGGAGATCCAACATGCCAATCACTGGACACATCTATCGACATGACAGATGCACATACGAACTCGGGATATCCTTGTCAACATGTGTGTCTGCAATATTCATTTTATGGATTCGCAGACATGCCGTGTCTGCAACATTGACATGTGAGTCCATAGTTGGGACTTACATGACACCTGTGCCCATTTTGTACGAAATTCATGTCTGATTTAAGATGTGTCTTTATTTTGTACGGCGCATGTGGGGGTACGTCTTAAAATTCAGGCACGATATTTTTTATTTGGACCCATATGTTTTATTTCTTATAGTAATTTTTTATTACTAAAAAGTCAAAAACTAGTATTAGTAGATACTTCTAAAAATAATGCCAAAACAGTCACAAATCTAACTTTATATATAAATGTGTATAGACATGTATGCTTTCTATGGATGTGGTGACATGTCATGCTAGACTTGACAAAAACATAGGTATGTGAGCCGGATTCTTTGAATTTGAGCCAAACACAGATTCACATATCTTAGTGCTTGTAACAACAACAGGTCCAATGGCCATGATGAATATTAGCAATGTAGTTTCTTAGTGACTAAACATCTCTATTTCTGTAATCAGATTGAAGCTCCATTCAAGTGTCATGTGAATTGCATACTTGAGAAACGTTAACCATCCATCAACAGTAGTATATCAAACAACATTGGTCTAGGTTGATGATGGTCGGAGCACATCGAGAAAGAAGAAAACCTAAAAATATAAAGTGTAAGAATCTCCAACAGTCCAAAGTTTGCAAATAAAAGACAATGCAATCATCACCATCCGACCTTTATCCCAACTATTTGAGATTGGCTACACGAACATTGTTCCACCATTCCAGTCTATGAAGGGTTATATCCTCAGTCAAACTATAAGGCACCACATATCTTCTCATTACTTCCAACCTTGTCCTTTTCGGCCTTACCTTTACACTTTTAGAGCCATCCACTTAAACCAAATCACCTCTCCTAACCGGTGTCGTTCTAGGCCAGCACTAGCCCACTTAAGTATACTTTCTCTCATCTTATCGCCTATTGGAGCTACCCCTAAGTTTCTTGGATGTATTTATTATGGTTCTTATCTTGCCACTAATCCATTTCAACATCCTCATCTTAGCTGCTACACTTATCTTATGGATATGTTGTTTCTTGACCATCCAACATTTGCCCTATAAAGCATGGCTGGTCTTACAAACATCCTATAGAACTACCCCATCAGTTTCATTAGTATGCGACGATCACATAAGACTCCATAAGCACATCTCTACTCTTTCCACCCATTTCTGATTCTATGAGCGAAATCTTCCTCAATCCTCCTCAATCCTCCATTCTCATGGATTATCGACCCAAGATATTGAATAAAAGACAATGTAACCAATCCACAACATATTATTTTTTATGTAGATTATAAAGCCAAAGGAAGATTCAATATGAAATGAAAATGCAGGAATACACATCAACTCCATTTCAAAAATATATTTCCAAAAACTTGTATCCATGTTATTCAAATTATATGCCACATAATCAAAATATTCTGTCAACAACATAACAAGGTTACCTGCAAGAAGCCTTTGGACCAATCTTCGACCAATGAAGCCTGTAGCTCCAGTTATTGAAACAATTAACTGCTCTGACTGCAGGAAAAATGAAGAACACATTATATTTCAAGAAAGCATATGGGCATACAATTATATATCAAATAAATAAACTACAGTTGTGGAAAATATTCAAAGAAAGGAATTTTTACTAAATTAACCTGTGCAAAATTCTTGAAGAAAGAAATAAGCATCCAAACTGTGACTGAAACAAAAAAACAGACCAAAAACCAAGAAAATGAAGGAATTTGTTTCCATACAATTCATTCATGAAACGGAATGTGAAGAAGACTCTGGAGCAGCATGAGCATATATAGGCACTGCTGAGAACTCCTTTGAAACTTAAGGTATGACATAAAGCTAAAAAAACATTGAGTTTCACAGTTAATAAACCAATACAGAATGATACTCCAAACACCTCCCAGGGATGGCAATTAATCAAGAAAAGAACATGGTCTCTTAGGAACGGTGATTATGAATCATGTATGAAAATCAAAATATAATTGCATTGTCTTTTTTTTCCCTTTTCTTTTAATCAATACTGCAATGGCATTGTCATAAGGCATATAATCAGTATAAATATTTGATGAGCGGCATATTCTCATGACGATGTATGATTCGGGAGAACTTAATTAAAACCAAAAAAATACCATATGGATAAAAGGTGTATGGGACAATGCATGGAGTTCTACGGGTTCTTTTGTGGAGATCTTGAATTCATCCAGTATTCACCTCAATCCTACATCATTTATATAGCAACAGTAACCAATAGTCAATATATCAAACTGGAATATAACAAGGTATGGGATGCTCTGTCCTGGTGCCTCCATATTCCTCATTTTGGATCTGTTTTAATCATTTCCAATGTAATTTAATCATTTATATCAACAAAGACAATAGGAAACACAAAAGTGGCTTGCACAATCGGGGACTTAAGAATGAATGTGAATATTGGAAAATAGAAAAAGGAATACCACTTCAAGACATAAGTATTGCAAAGATCATAAGGGGTTAAGCTACACATATTGGATCGGAGAATGATGGCCTTAGAAGTACCACCCTAAAGCATGGACAACTAGTGAATTGATAGCAAACAGAATACGAAGAAAAATGAACCCTAAATAAATGGATCATAATCCAAATATAAAAACCCACAAGACCAGCAACTCCATTTTTAACACCCTATATCTACAACATGGGGTCCATAAAAATGTACTCGGGGTACATAAAAAATTTCAAATAAAAAATCCAAAAAATTGTAGAAAATATGGGTATGTTGTATAAGTTTTTTGTATATAATTTGGATATTTTTGGCATTGATGTGAGTGTTTTTTTGCCGTGATCGTTATTTTTATATTTTTCCTTTTTATGAAATTTTTGAAAGGGAAAATATCTCCATACACCCTATTTTTAGGTTTCATTTCACAATAGACCCAAGGTTTTACAAGATATCTTGGGGCATAAAAATTGTAAATTTTATTTTTTCTAACCCCCTGAGCTAATTCAAACGTGTTTTTTTAGGCCAAACAAATCTAAAAATACATGCCTTTTCTAAAAGTCATCCTCCCAAACTTCTCTCTTTCTCTCTCCCCATACCCCTTCTCTCTTTCAGTCTTTCCTATCTCTCTCCCCTTACTCTCTCTCCAGCATCTCTCTTCACGTTTCCCATCTCTCTCCCCTCATTTTTGCGAGCTTCACAAAACCCACAAAACCAATCCCCTTCGAGTACCTCCTTCAATGGAGGCTTTAGACACCTGAGATGAAAACCCCCTAAACATTCATCACACTCAATCATCACAGCTGTCCCTGACCTGAAACAAGCCCTACATTCCTCAACCTCTAGATCCTCACCATCAGAGCTTGCATTATCTCTCCTCTTCACATAGACATCATCACCAACTGAGAATTCAGCACCATCATAGACAATCTTCTTATAAAACACTCTTTTTCTTTTTAAGCCCCAAGTTTCCCGTTTTCTCAACTCTATGGCCACTGGATTTCAACGAATTTTGTTCATTTTTCTTGTTTTTCCTTTAATTTTGGCTAGACCTTGTGTTTCTCAACACTACAAGATCATCAGAAACTTTACCCAACTTCCCATATTTCGCAAAATCCTTCTTCAATTTTCCATTATTTGTGGCAACATTTTGCCCTAAGCTCCCATCTTCCTCATCTGAATGCCCTGATAGTCCTTTTCTGGAAACCGATTGTCCACCATTTGTGCTCGGCACACCATTTCCCTTGCCAAAAATTGCAGAAGCTTCTGGTTCAGCAAACAACCTCTTTCTCTTCCTACATCCAGATATATCTGGAGAGATTGGAGACAACAAAAGTTCAAACGATCTTTCCCCATTGTTTTTTTGAATGCGGGATTTTTCGCTATTTTCACCATTGTCAACCAAACCTTTTTTCTCTTGAACAGCCTCTCCCTTTCTAGTACCAGTTCTTTTTCCATTTTTAGAAGGTTTGGACCTGTCAAATGAAGCAACATAATTCACTGTGCATTGTATGGCAGAATGTTCTGGATTGAACACGAGTTTTCTCACAGATCTTCGAGGGGCAGGGTTTGCTGGTGTGGAAGGAAATGCTAGAATGGATGATGGAAAAATTAGGGTTTCCTAGTCTTTGGATGTTAGGGTTCACCAGTTTTTGGCATTTGCATGGGTTTCGGCTATGACCATGGCCTCTTCTAGAGAGAGAGAAGGGCTCCATAGAGGTGAGAGGTTATCAGGAGGAGAGAGAGGTGTTTAGAGAAACACGGGAGGTGGGAAAGAGTGAGAGACACAGAAAAAGAGAGAAAGAGAGAAGTTTGGGGTATATAAGTGAAGAGAGAGAAAGGATTGGGTTTAGACAAAGCATGTCTTTCTCATATTTGTTTAGGTTAAAAAATAGGTTTAAAGTGGCCAAGGGGTTAGAAGATATCTTTTGAAACCTTGGGTTTATCACGAAATGACACCTAAAAATAGGGGATATGGAGATATTTTCCCTTTTCGAAATGTGCCCAACCATTAATCAATTTTTTTGAAGTCCATTTTTTATATTATTTTTTAAAGTATTGGACTTTTTAAGGTTGCTTTTTCTTTTATTTTACTTAATGCCTTTATTTTATTTGTTTCATATTTTTATTATTCTTAAATGGTCTAAGTAGGGTGAAGACCTTAAACTTTCCCTTAACCCATCCCATACCCAGGTAAAAGAGGTGGATTGTGTTAGGTAGTCAGCCAACGTAAAATAATGCTAAAATTTTCATGAATCTTGAATCTACGTTATCTGTTTATACCAGGGCATTCGCCGTAAGCAAGTGCTATATCGGAACCCAAACACAATGAGAAATACGCAAGGGTTAGCTAGAGCGTTCCCCATACACAACGTGCCACAAAGTCGCCTAGTTGCGATGAAAAATAGGCAAGTATTTATGCAACACACTCTGGACAAGCACAGGTAAAGAAACTATTCCAAGATAATACGTTTCATCTAGCCACATGAAATATAGGAACTCTTACAGGTAAGAGTATGGAGTTAATGAATACAATTAAATAAATGTGAGTCAACACACCTTGTCTACAGGAAACTAAGTAGAAAGGAAAGAAAGCTAAGAAAATAGATGGGTATATAAACTTTAGTACATAGAAAAGGATGATAATAGAAATGGTGTAGGTATAATAGTAGACAAAGATTCAAAAGATAGAGTACTTAATGTTGAGAGAGTAGGTCATAGGCTCTTATTAATTAAACTTATACTAAGGGAGGTGATAATTGACATAATTAGTGCTTATGCACCACAAGTAGGAATAGAGGATACAATTAAGAGACAATTCTGGAAGGAAATGGATAGACTAGTCCAAGACATACCAAATGGAGAAGCATTTGTTTAAAAGGGGATTTAAATGGTCATGTAGGGAAGGATAATAGAGGATATAAAGAGATATATGGGGGATATGGGTTTGGTGAAAGAAATGAGTGGATGAGGTTATTCTAAATTTTGTTATGGCCTACAACCTAGCAATGGCAAACACTTACTTTGAAAAGTAAGATGAACATTTAACAACGTGTAAAAGTGGATCATATAAAAGCCAGATAGACTTCTCCCTAGTTAAAGAAGTAGATCAACCATCATGTAAAGACTGTAAGGTTATCCCAAGAGAGAGTTTGACAACGTAACATAGGCTCGTGGTTATGGACATCCATATAAAAAGATGGAAGATAAGGGTTGAAATTAATAAGTGTCCATGAACTAAGTGGAGGAATTTAAAACATGAGAAAATAGACTTATTTAGGAATAATTAGTTAAAAAAGGAAAATGAAACCTTGAACATTAGGTCGATGTGCATGTTTCAAAAAAAAAAAAAAAAAATGAGGTCAATGTTATGTGGAATGATATGACTGACTGTATTAAGAAAGTAGCAAAAGAAGTTTAAGAGAAACTAGAGGGAAAAGAAATGTCAATAAGAAAACTTGTAGTAGAATGATGAGGTTCAGAAGGCCATTAGCGAAAAACAATCATTTTATAAAACTTGGCAATGTAATAAAAATGATCAAAACTTAGAAAAATATAAAATTACTATGAAAAAGGCTAAAGAAATAGTAAGGCTAAACTTAAAGCATATGAAAATCAATATAGTAAACTGAGAAGAAAAGGTAAAAAATATGTCTTCAAATTAGCAAAAATAAGAGAAAAAAAGTGTAGGGATCGATACCATATTAGATACACTAAAAGTGAGGAGCAAAAGGTCTTGGTGAAGGATAAAGATGTCAACGGAAGGTAAAGAGTTGATTTTTAAAAATTATTAAATGACGAACACAATGAAACATAGCGGTTAAAGGAACCATTGACATAAATGAGATCATAAGTTATAGATATATTTGCAAGATTAGGATATCGGAAGTGAAAGAAGCTTTGAAGATGATGAAAATAGGAAAGGCTTTAAGACCAGGTAGTATCTCGATAAAGGTTTGGAAGTGCATGGGTGAGATCAACATTGACTAGCTAACTAAATTGTTCAACAAGGTGTTGAGAATAAAAAACATATCAAATGAATGGAGGAAAAGTACTATGGTACCTATTTACAAGAACAAATGAGACGTACAAAATTATGCGAACTATCGAGGGATCAAACTTATGAGCCATACCATAAAGCTGTGAGAGATAGTGATTGAGCAATGACTAAGGCATGAAATAAGTGTATCAGAAAATTAATTCAGTTTTATGCCAAGCAAGTCAACAATGGAAGCTATTTTCCTACTTAGGCAACTGATTGAGAAGTTTAAGGCAAAACGAAAAGACTTCCACATGGTTTTTATTGATCTAAAGAAAGCTCATGATGAAGTACCTTTGGTGGGTGTTAGAAAGAAAGAAGTCTCCAAATACTATATCAACTTGGTGAGAGATGTATACGAGGGAGCGCTAATTAGTGTGCTAACAACTAGTGGAGAGACGAGTGAAGTTTTTACGATAATAGGTCTACATTTGGGGTGAACGTTGAGCCCATATACCTTTGTCTAGGTTATGGACGACTTAACTGAACACTTACAAGATGAGGTACTGTGGTGTATGTTGTTCGCAGACAACATAGTTTTGATAGATAAGACCCGAAGCAGCATCAACACAAAGTTGGAACTTTTGAGGGATGCCTAGAATCTAAAGGTTTTAAAATTAACCAAACTAAGACAAGGAGGGATAAAATTTGAAATGAATACATTCGGAAGAACTTAAGTATGGCTGCAATAGGTGATAAGATGAGTGACAGTAGACTTAGGTAGGCTGGCCATGTGTAGTGCAGACCCAGTACAACATTTGTTGGGAGGTAGTTCAAATCAAAGGCTCATAAAAGGAAAAGGGTTGGCCCAAAAGGGTATGATCTTGTTGGGAGGTAGTTCAAATCAAAGGCTCAGAAAAGGAAAGAGGTAAGCCCGAAAAGGTATGGTTGGAAGTAGATAGAAAAGATATGGCAACTGATAGCCTCAATGAGGGTATGGCCCTTGACATAGCAAAATGGTGGACCAAAATTCATGTAGCCAACCACATAAGTTAGGAGAAAGGATGATGATGATTTTTATCATTTTTAAAAATACAGGACTCGGCCAAGTAACTCGCCTATACCAAGGGCTGGAGTCCATTGGCCAACGCAATCTTCTAAACACTGCCCTAGATAACTAAAATATAATCCAAATGTGATAGCGTACATGACTAGCGACTCCAATTCAATAAAAGGAACGCAATTCAGCAACATAATAACTGCATAATGTTACATCGTGTTGTCAGCACATGTATGCATAAGAGCTCATCACAACAGAAGCATCGAATAAACCATCAATAGTCCTCTGTGCATTATAAAATTCGAGAAAAAGCATTTCAAAATATCCCATTTAATAATCTTGTTAGATTAAGTCCCATCTGTGCATTATAAAATTAGAGAAAAAGGCGTTTCTCAATATCCCATTGAATAATCTACTAGGATTAATTCCCTACAAAAGAGAGCAAAAGAACCAGGGAGCCATCCAAACTCATACAGCAATGAAAGTTAGGTATAATCAGTCTAAACTCAAGAGAAAAGCACCTTTAAGGACTGGTTATTGTCCACACAGAAAATGCGACACCTCTTTTCTTCCTTGATCTGTGAAATTCAAGACACCCAGAACCAAAACAATCAATTCAATGAAGAGAGAGAGAGAGAGAGAGAGAGAGAGCTTCCCAATGTGATTTGGTATGTTTACTCATAGAGAGAGTATGGAACTCACCAATCTGGGTCGACGGAGATGAAAGAGAGAGGGACTGGTCTTCGTCCAATGTGGGGATATCTTGCAGAGCTCCATGTCTAGATTAGAGAGAGAGAGATAATGGTAGTTCTAGAGAGAGAAAGAGAATAGTGTGGTTAGCTGTGAAGAGATGATGTTAGATACCTGGTTTGGAAGCCGGAGACGTATCTGTTTGTTGTGCAAGCTCTGTGAGCCACAGCATTCAAACGACTTTTTTCTGGTTTACTGCGGAGAGGACAAAGTGACAAACACACGGGCAATCGTACTATGAACCGCATGATTACTGAGATATGTGGTCACGAGGGTCATCAGCCATCACCTTGGACAGAAAAAGGTTTGGACGGTGATGCAGATGCATGCACATTTATAACACCATGGATCATAGGATATTTTGGGCTCTTTCATTAGAGGAAATTTTTTTTCAACTTTTCTCTTTTTGTTTTTGTTTTCCCGATTATACTTAAAGAATTATAATAAAGCCCTTAACTCAGAGAACCTTCACAATAACTAGCATGGTTTCTCAAATTTTAGTTTAATAGAGAACATCTCTTCAATTTTTCTTTCTTTCTACCAAAACACATCTGAAACTAGGATACCGGAGCACATTTTGACAGCTTTAGCCCTCTATGTGGTGCTTGTCAATACCTCTTCCTTGATTCACTGCACGTAGGTAACTTTGCCTTCAAAAGTCCTACTATTTCTTCAAAAGCAATGTTGTCCGATTCGCTTCGGGGTCCTTTTCGATTTGCTAGAAAAATAAAACAATTTTGTGTTTTAGCTGATCCGGAGGAAGGCTTTAGACTTTTTTAAAATTTAATGTAAATAAATTAGATATTTATATATAAAATATATATAAATGGTAGAAAATTTTAAAAATAAAAAATAAAAAAATACTTTTTTGTAGCTATTTCTTTGTTGACCGAAGCAGATCTGAAGCATACCTGAATCTGACAAAAGCAACCTAAATCTGATCGAAGCGACAACACCAGTCTTCGTTACGCTTCGGTTTATGCCTAAAATCCGAAAGCTTCGGCCCAATCAAAGCGAATTGGATAACATTGTTCAAAAGTCCTACATTGCCATTAGTATCCTCCAAAATATGGTACCTATTTTACCAAAGCATGGGGAACATTAGGGGTGGCAATGGATCCAAACCCCATCCCGAACCCGAGGGATAGGCCCAATTTGGTTTCGGATATGGTTTCAAAAATTGGATACAGTGGGCCAAGTCTGGGTCCAATAACATTATTCGGATTCGGGTTCGGGTTCGGATCTAGTTGGGCCTGTGCTGATGTATTAATATTTTTTGGGTCCCAATTTATGTAATATATTTAAATATAATTAATACATAAAAAAATTTCATTTTTGGGTTGGGTTCAAGTCTAGGTCTGAATCTCAATCCCACACTATATTTTCGAGTCTGGGCCTAGGCCCGATGAATTTGGGTCTAGGTTTGGATCCCATATCATGTTTTGGGTTTAGGTTTGGATCTCGATCCAAATTAGCTTTGCCAATTTAGTAACTCGTATTGTAAAAAAGTGCTTCTAAAGGAAAATTGTTTCATACCGGCTGGACTGCATTTCTACAATATGCGGTCCAGAAGAATAAAGTGTCCATATTAAAGATGGATGCAAATAGGTCATCCATCTAAAAATAATTATAACTAACGGTGCAAATGTTTTCTTGATCTAATTATTATTTCTAGTTTTCAAAATATTATTTTTTTCATATTCATGATCTCCATGTTAAAAATTATATATTCTCTAAAAATTAGGATCAAATTATATTTAGAAAATATATTTATTGCCAAACCCGCATTTCTACAATATGCAGGCTAGCCACATAGAAACTGTGTCCGCCTCTAAAAGCTCCAAAATGGTTTGGGAAGTTCATATCATGAATTTGGGGGTGGTTTCAATTTAGTCAAGAACCAAATTGTTTCATTTTTTGAGTCAAACACCAAATTGTTTTTTTTTCTATTCATGACTATGGTTTAGAAATTATAATAAAAATTTCATATTGTGTTTAAATTAAAGTTTTTTTTTTTTGGTTGGGTAAGTAAGTGGGGAGAGGGCTCTATCCTTGGTAGAAATTGAGCTTAGTACATAGCATCGTAAATCATTAAGTGCTAACCAATTATTCCCAGGCTCTTTTCCTATTTAGATTAGAGTTTGGTTTATTCAAATAAATAGCCTGTGATTTAAGGGTGAGGTTAAGTTTTGGGGTTTTATATCTGTGTTTCCTAATTTGAACTAGATGTAGCAATTGGAGTTTGCGGTGTAAGCTCCCATCTCCCACCCATTTCAATCCACCCATCGGTGCCTTTTTTCTTTTGCAATTTGTTCTATTTGCATCACAAGCTTGGGCCGCCCATGTGGGTGGGATGGGCTTAGGTCCAACCAGAATTTCTAGTATCGCAGCCAACAGTCTGCCTGACCTAAAGAAGTTGTTGGTATGTGTGGGTGGCCATGGGGCCTCACATTATCTTTGAATATAATTAATATGTATATTAAAAATATAACGTATGTTGTAGTGTTTATCACTAAAAGGTTTTTTAGATAGATAAGATCTTTTTTCCAACAGATAGAAGATAACTACCTACGTCCCATTAAAAGAGGGTCACCTTCTCGTAGATTTCAAGAGGAAAGTCGAACATTAGATGATGTCTTATTCCTATCGTTCGATAAGTAGGGTTTCATGGTCATGGAGAGACAAATATAGAAAAACTTAAGAATTTTCAGTAGTTATAGAAAACCATGAGCTATACGATTTACGGTCTAACGGCACTACCATCAATACCTGAGATATTAGTGGGTTCATCTCTTCCCCTTAAAAGTTCAACCGAAGTTTGAGTCGGGCAGCGATCAAACTCCATATTAATATATAATTGAATACAAACTAGTACATATACGACAATTTACTAATATATACAAAAAATATTCTTGGGCCCGTTCCGTCTTGGGCTGTTGCTGGCCCAACCTGGGTTACCAGGGCACTCCCTTAAATTTATTTGGGCCTAATAGGTGGGCCCATGGGCCTTATCATTCAAACTGTAGCCCGCATGCCAGGCTGGACCCATTGGCAATCCTAACCGCATGTTGTACAAAGTGTATAGCATCATGTTGTGAGGAACACACTCTGGGCAAAAGCACTGCTTTTAAAAAACGCCGGGTCGGCATGGAATCTGTCCGATCCAAAAATCGGTCACCCCATTTCAATTATGCATACATTTAGAAAAATGACTGAGTCTAGAAGGGAATCGACGTTCCCCGCACAGTATAACGACAATTCTCTAGTGTCAAGCGACTACTTGGACGCGTTTTTTGCTGGTTCAATATTTTCCACGTGGTTTTCACCGGCTCATTGTTTTTTCCGCACAGTAAAACGACATTTTGGACCTCCGATTCACTAATCCAAACTGATTTTTGGCTCACCGGTCCGTTTTTTCAATCATTGGCAAAAGAGATGCTTAATAAGATTATTATTATTATTGAACATTCACACAAGCTTTTCATTCATCTCCAAAAACATTTACAACGTATACAAGAGAAAATACCTAGTACTATGCTTAGTAATATTTGTTTGATCTAAAATTTTGAGATCTTATTTGGAACCAAAGGAAAATTTCAGAATTTAAAAGGAAAATTACAAAATTTGAGTTGCTAAACACCACCTAGATGGGATTGTCAAAAAATTGTGAGTTTCTTATTCAATCTTAGGATGTTATGTTTTGAATGTCATATTTTAGGGATATAACAAACTGTATTTTGTTTTTCACTCCTTATTTGTATTTTGTTTTTTTAATATATATATAAAAGTTGGGCCCTAGAGGAGATCGCATCCTCAGGGTAAGGGTGGCAATGGTTTTGAACCCAACAAGTAGACTCGACTCGGGCACAGCTATGGATCCAAAAATTGGACCCGAGGGGTTAGATCTGTGATGTAGGAGAATTTGAAGAAACTAAAAAAAAATCAACAAAAAGCACACAATTTTGGAGAACCGTGAGGTTTTCTCCCACCTAGGGCTCAATCCTTAGGCTTCTTTTATAAGATAAAATATTTATTTTCTTAAAAAGAATACATGAATGACTCTCCAGCACATCCATACCCTTATTTATATTGAAAAAGCATTATTTTGGATAATATTTGTCCATACAATTTTAACTCTTGACTAAATAGTCTTAACTTAAATATAACTTCAAACTACGCTTCCTAACTTTAATTAAAATATCTAAAAAGTCCTTAAAATTCTTAAAAACTAAAAAATCCTAGAACTAAATCTTAAAACTAAAATCAAAATATATATCATTTAAAGTTTGAATAAAAATTAAAAATAAGTATAATTTTTCCCTCCATCGGTATCCTTTTGTTGGAGAAAACTCGTCCTCGAGTTTCTAAGTGTTCTAAGATGAATTCGGCATCAAACTAACTTCTTCAACCTTCTTCTTCTTTGTTGTTTCAAAGATTATTCTTGGTAAAAAACCAAGAAAAAATAACCTAGATTTTGTTGATTCAGTTTGGGTCTAAATCTTAGACCCGAGCACTATTCGGCATTTAGGTCTGGGTCCATATAGACCCGACGTGGACTCGACCCCAACCCCAACATCGGAGAGTGTGATATTTAAATAATATCTAATAAATAATATTTATATAATATTGAAATAAATATATAATATTTATATAAAGGTGTGGTTTGTATAGAGTCGAAGCTCTAAACAATCAAATTAGAGCTCGGCTTCAAATAGTGTCGAAAAATGTGGTTTCAATATTGAAAATCTTTAATTAGCCTTAAAATATATTTTCATGTTTAATTATAAAATTTAAAACTTCAACAATAGTGTAGATCGAGCAGATCTATGAAAACTTGAATAACTTAAAATTTGATAGTCCAAAAATCCGTTACAAGATGCACTATTTCCAAAACTTAAAATCCATTTTTTTCTCAAGTCTATGCATCTTGACGTCGAGGTGATAAATTTGAAGATATTTGGGCATCAAAACAACCTCTTCTAGTGAAAATTTTGAGGTAGGCTCTAATTCGATTGTTTGGAGCATAGGTTTATATAATATTTTCCCTTTATATGATCCATGTATATATTTAATATATTTATGAAGTATATTTAAATATATAGATAGTATATATATTTAACTACTCTGGGTCCAAAACTTGGACCCAAAGACTATTTAGGTGTGGGTCCAGGTAGACCTGACCTAGATGCAATTATGAATAGTATTGATATTTAAAAAATATTTAATATATAATATTTAAATAAATATAACTATTTTTTTAGTTATAATATTTAAGTAAGGGAAAAGTTTATATAAGGTTGCAACCTTAAAATGTAAAACTACAGACGCACCACAAAAATTCATGGGAAAATGTTGTTTTAATGTTGAAGAACCCTCTAATTGATCATCTCGATATCGAGAAGTATGAATATGAAAAAAAAAAGATTTCGAGTCCCAGAAATAGTGCGTCTTGCAACACCTTATCAAGATCGTCTATTTTCAAGACTTTCATATGTTTATAGATCTACTTGATTTTAACCATTTTTAGAGTTTAAAATTTTATAATTATGGAAATAGATTTTTCAAACAATCATATGAATTTTTACCACAAAAAATACATGTTATGATAAAGTTTGGAGGTGCACCTTAATGAGATTGTTTAAGGCTGTAACCTTATAGAAGCTGCACCCTTTAAATAATTAATGTCTATATATTTATGAAATATATTTAAATTGGTCAAAGAAGGGTAACGACCTTTAATTTTCCCTTAACCCATCCTATGCCCAAATAAAAAAAAATGGGTTGTATTAGATAGGCAACTAAAGTACAACTTTGTTAAAAACTCATCATGAATATTAAATAGAATAATGATCTAATGAGACCCTACCACATGCATGTGTGTAGAATTTCAAAAGATCACTATTAAATTTGGCACAGATTTTTAGCAAAGACAAGTCTCACACCCGTGTGATAACTTTTTTAAAAGTATGTATCAAATTTAATGGTGATTCTTTGGGGTCTACACATATGGATACGGGAAGCTCTCAAAAGATCATTAAATATCTATGTATTTTGATATTTTGGTTGAATCCAATTGGGTTCTACTTTATATTTTTGAGTTGGGTCTGGATCCGGGTCTCATAATACGTTTTTGTGTCTGGGTCTGGGTTTTGGTTGGCCCGTATCCGGACCCAACCCGACCCGTTGCCACCCCTATTTTGGGACTGAATGGCGGATGTGCTCCGGCGGAACTCGGAAGCGTATGGGCGGACATTAGAGAGGGAGAGACGGGGAGAGGACACGCTACGTAACTGGGTAGTGAAGCGAGGGCACGGGGCGGAGAGATGGCGATGGCGATGGCTAGGCGATGGTGCGGCACGGTGGTGGCTGCTACCCAGCGCATGAGCAGCATGAGCACGAGCGGCGCTTTGCCAGTGGTGTGCGGGCGTGGAGATAAGAAGACAAAGAGGGGGAAGAGGTTTAAGGGTTCATATGGCAACGCCAGGCCAAAGCGCAAGGAGATGATTGAGAGGATCAAAGACAAGGTCGAGGTTCCCAGGTCCACCCCTTGGCCTCTCCCTTTCAAGCTCATCTAATCTCTCTCTCTAGGGTTATTGGAATGATACTGTGATCTATATATAATGGTTTTTGTTCTCATTGATTAATCCATAGTTGTTAACTTTTAGTTCTTCTTCTTTGTTTGCTTAGAAGATGGAACTGTGTGGGTTTAGAACGTGAATTGATTCGTGTGTGTGAGATACTGGGAAAAGAAGAAGGATTCAGAATAGAGTGCTCTCTCTCTCTCTCTCTCTATCCTGTGGGTACCTTAAGTAGATAAATCCACTTATAATTTAAGGGTTTATTCCTGGATTTTGCTGGAATTGCATCACTATTAGATGAATCTGAAGTATCTGTTTTTTTCTTTGAATTATTATCCATTTATGTGTTTGGTAAAAAAATATCATTAGGTATCAGATGATCCATCTTCGTTGTTTGGGATCATTTGGAACTTTTTTTTTTTGGTATAATAAGCATTTTCTGCGGGGCAATGATAGATTCCTTGTGCAAGAATATGCAAGGCCTGGATAATTTGGTCAAACCATTTTTTTAAGGTTCACATATGAGTATATGCAATGCACGGGCAGTTCTTGTTACACCAATTGCCTCATTTCACATTGCATTCATGCAAAATTACAAGAACTCCTGGCTTTGTGGCATTGGGTGGAGCAATTTGTTAGATCAATAGTAAGCATAGTTAGTTAAGTTCACATATGAGTATATGCAATGCACGGGCAGTTCTTGTTACACCAATTGCCTCATTTCACATTGCATTCATGCAAAATTACAAGAACTCCTGGCTTTGTAGCATTGGGTGGAGCAATTTGTTAGATCAATAGTAAGCATAGTTAGTTAATTGGGCCTACAGAGAGCTAAAATGGAGTTAGCCATCAAAAAATGGCGAGACGACATGGAGTTTGTAGGTGCCTAGAATATGCCTTAGGAATGTGAATCATGGAGGAAGGATTAGACAAAAGAAGAGTTTTGTGGTCAACATCAATTGTATCATGATCATTATCTCTGGGGAGAACAGTTTATGCTCAACTAGATTAAGGATAATGCGATGATGATATTCTTCTATTAGGCATAATAGCCAAGGATGGTTCTTATTGATGAACAAAGGCACAAGTTTGCGAAAAGTGCCACCCACACATATGCATATTTTCGTGATCTGGTTTTCAACTGTTGAATTTGATTTGCGATAAGGACCGCTGGAAATGGACAAATCTTGAGTACCATATGATACGGCGCAAGAAGAAGGCTTCAGCTTAATATGCACGTACTTAGATGAAAACTGAGGTTCAAGTGCTTTCCATTATCAATCTATTTATGTTCTGAATGTGTACTAGTAGAGTTTTTAAAACTATCGCAATATGCTGTGAGCCTACAGGTGACCTTAGAACTCATGGGTAGTTCATCCTTCACTACCCTTGGCATAAAATTTTATGTTTGAGCCACAGATTTAAAAAAGAGAGCAAGTGGACTTGGTCTCAAGTCCATCAAGTCTTGTTGAGGTGCGGCCGATTCGATTGAGACTTAGCTGAGTCTCGGGGAGGTGACTTGGATTGGGACTAGGATGAGTTATGATCTCCTGTCTAATCATGTTTGGGGCCTACGTAGTTTTTAGTCATAGCTATAAATTCTTTAAAGGGCATAAAAAATGGTAGTTGTTGATATGAAGCTTAGTGGATAATATGAATTCATTATCAAGCTCAATCGGATAATAAAATCTGCAGCATGGTTAAATTGAAGACCCCGAAACATTATTTTATTTTAATGTGAGAAAAGTGTGAGAGTTGAAATTATTTCAGTGCAGCTTGACAAACATGTATTTATCCTTAATTTGCACTTAATAATTTTTTTTAACAATAATACAGGCTTAAATAGATGAAGGTTTATCAAAATACTCATTAGAGATGAAATTTTTTAAGTTTTACCCAATTGCAACTATTCCATCTCATGATCATGTGTCTTTTGATGGGTGTTTTGAGATTAAATCAAAAGATATGGGGAGAATGTTAAATAGTTCATCTCTCATGAGTATTTGGATGAATTTCCAACAAATGAAGGCATCCGAAATTAATGACAATCTGAAACAATATAAGTGGATATCCCAATTCTTGACGTTAAAAGTGTGACTGAAGATATAGCATACAAGTCATGTAGTTTGATACATAGATGCACTAGAATAGGTGATCCGTCTACTACATAAATTGAGAGCCATATAGTGAGTAGGATGCCTCAAGATACTAGGACAGTTGCTCCAACTGAGCAGGAGTTAAAAGACCACTGTGATTGCCATGGACGTCAAAATAGAGTGGAAGATCGGACAGGGAAAGATGTCATAGGATGTTAATTCTGAGGTTCTGCACATGTTTCTGGTTAAAGTTTAAGGTGTTATCCTCTTGTTGTTTGAGACACTCGTGGTAAATGACGCTGTTTCTTTCACCTAAGCATTTCCTAAACAGCAAAGCGTGGCTGCTTGTGGAAGTCCTAGATGTTGTTGAGGCATGTGCTTGGCATTCCATTTGCGAACGTATAATTGTGTTATAGATAGATATATAGATAGACTTACACACCTACACACATTGGTTCCAACTATTTGCCCTGTGGGGCTTGAGCCGTTAGGTGCCCACTTGGGTTTCCCTCTTGAGAATTCCTTAGCAAGGGAATTAGTTTTTCACCTTGCATGGAGTATATTAATATTAATAAAATAAAGGAAATGATCTGGCATAGCCATGGCCATGGCCAAAACTATGTGGCTGCACCTCATTTGGCCGTGTTTACTGATGGGTGAGGACCCAAAAAGCTCCAAAATGGATATGTTACTCCCCAAGATCAACCTGTTCTAAATAAAAATGGATTCGGAGCCCTAAAGCTCCATCTCAAATCTGATATTTACTGTCTATTATTGATGGATGGTAGACCATTCAGATTTGGAACTTTTAGGAGCTCTGAATCTCCTTTCCCCCCCTCTTTTTGGCATTGGAAAATGAATTGCTGGTGATTTGGAGTGTGTGCTTGCTCAATCCATGAAATCATGGAGTTTGAGGTGCACTATATGGGTTTAAGGTGTGGGTGTGTGGCCACTGTTACACCATTAGATCCAGGCACTCACCATGGGAAGGGATTGAGTGCTGGGGTGCTGCATGGGTTATCTGTTTTCTTGCTCGAGTATCCCTAATGTAATATGCCTGAGTATCTGCATGCTTAGGAGCATCAGCTGGATGCCTGCTAACGTTTGATAATGTTAAGTTGCAAAAACTGTATAGATTTTGGGAGAACCCGCCTGATGTTTTATGATGTCAACAATAAATTAGGACGCCGATCTGTGGGTGCAACCCTTAGAAAGTAGCGTTGCGAGCCTTGTTTATACATTTCTTTATGAGGACCCATTAGATTGAGTTGGTCCCATTGAGTACCAAGGTGGATATAACCAATCGGGTATGGATATTTCTTTACGAGGAAGATGTTGAATCTCATTCTGTTGATGTCAAATCTATCCATATCACTTTGGGCATTGGAAGCCTTGTTTATATCCCATATGCCATTTGCAAGTTTATGGAAAGTAAGTGACCTGTTATTTGCTTCATAGATTTGCGATTTGAGACACCATCAACTATAGTTGATCTTGATTCGGTGGTTGAATGCCGATACCTCCAGTGCCAATCAAGAAATCATGGATTTACTCGATCCACGTCTCAGGCATTGCTAAAATCCCCACTTGGGTGGCCAGAGACCTTGCTTTTTTTCTTGAACTACCATAGAATATGTTTTCTTCTTCCAACAACTTTTCTTCACTGTCATTTTTGGTGTGACCCAAAGCCTGGTTTGTTACCTTTGTTTCTACTCATGAAACAATTTCCACTATTCTTCATTCTCCTGTGTTTCCTGAATACTCTTATTTACTTTTTGTCTTAAAATCACCTGGCCTGTGCCTTGGATTATTACACTAGATTCCGTCTTCCATATTTTCTTTTTATGCTTCAACCTCTTTTTAAGAACTTGGGCCGTGCTGTCAATCATACCAAAATCTAACAACTCCCTACATGCACTCCCAAAAATATCTTGTTCTTAGAATTAGCTAAAGCAACTCATTAAGCTTGCTTGATTTGAAAGGCCAAGAAGAAAATGATGAGTTTACTTGGTAAGTTAATTTGCAAAAGACGGTGGATATCGTGTTTGAAAATTAAGATTTAGGTGCGATCTCCACCATATGTAAACAATAGACTGTAGATGTGTTAGGGAAACGCAATCCAACAATTGTCTCCTCTCACATAAACTAGACTCTCACTCTTATTCATAATAGTAGAAAGGATGAATCTCCCTAGGGATGCACACCCGAATTAGCCCTTAAATCAGTGACAGAACTTGTGTCCATGAGAGTGAGAGAGACAGAAACTGCTGGTTATCTTATAGGGGTGTTAATGGTCCAGGCTTGGACCAGGCCAGCCTTGCACTAGCCTGTCCTTTGTCTCCATAGAGCTGGCCCTAGCCCTGTTAGGGTAGGGCTAGGCTGGGTCAAAAACAAAGGATGAAAAATAAAAGAAATAACACGAAAAACTTAGAAAAGCCAAGTTGGGCCAGCACTGGCCCAAGCCCGGCCTATTGTACAAATACCTGCTGCAGGCAGAAACCTATTTATATTAGGGGGATTTGTTGGACCCGAAAAATTTGTATATCGTCTCTCTTGATCCAAGCCCATGAGTAAATAACCCGCACCTTAAAAGAGTCCCTGCAGGGTCCACTCCAAAAGCCAATGCTGACTGTCATTTGATGAATGATCAAATCTAGTACGTTCATTATCTGTTTTTTTTATATTATTCATCAAATGAATTAAAGATGTTTTGCAAAATTTAGAAAAGGGGAATTTATCAAAGTACGTATGAGATATGTAATATTTCATATTTTATACATTTATAACTATTCCAATTCATATGGACAATTGTTTCATGCGGGCTAGACTGCATTTCTACAATATGCGGTCCAGAGGTATAAAGCATCCGTCTTAAAGATGGATGCAAATAGTGGTCCATCTAAAAACAATTGTAACTAACTGTCCAAATGTTTTCTTAATATAATTATTATTTCTAATTTCTAAAATTTATTTATTTTTCATATTCATGATCTTCATGTTAAATATTATATATACTCTAGAAATTTGGATCAAATTATACTTAAAAAATATATTTATTGCCAATCCCGTGTTCCTACAGTATGGGGGTTGGCCGCATGCTAACCGCGTCCATCCATGATTGTGTATCTTTTATGGTTATTTTGGAAACAATATTGGTAAAATTTTAAATAATTCA